CCCACTCTGTTGCCCAGGCTAGAGTGCCATGGCATCAGCCTAGCTTACAGCAACCTCAAACTCCTGGGCTCAACCAATCCTTCTGCCTCAGCCTCCTAGGTAGCTGGGACTACAGGTGCATGCCACCATACCCGGCTAATCTTTCTATTTTTAGTAGAGACTTGCTCTTGCTCAGGCTGAGCAAGAGCGAGACCCCGTCTCTACTATAAACAGGAAGAAATTAATTGGCCAACTAATATATATAGAAAAAATTAGCCGGGCATAGTGGTGCATGCCTGTAGTCCCAGCTACTCGGGAGGCTGAGGCAGGAGGATCGCTTGATCCCAGGAGTTGAGGTTGCTGTGAGCTAGGCTGATGCCACGGCACTCACTCTAGCCTGGGCAACAAAGCAAGACTCTGTCTTTAAAAAATAAATAAATAAATAAGTAAAGAAATTGTAGTTAAATGAAAATAAGGGTAGGAAAAATAAAAGTAATCTAGGACAAAGGCTGATACAAAAAACACATGTCATGAGGTGCCGTATCTCTGGAGAGGCAGACCACAGATTTGCCTCTGAGCTTCCTAGCAGCCTATGCAAAAAAGGAAACCTGAGCAGTTACATGATTCACAGTGCTCATATAGCAGGAGAGGGCAGTTATATAAATTTTATTATGTAATATTTCCTGCATCCAGAACAACACGTGTGCTGCACATGCAGGCTAGGAAGCACAACATTAAAATGAGCACCCAGCAGCCCACCATACATTCTCCAAAACAGACCATTTCAGTGCCATTTAAGTTCTCTAGGTGCTCTTTGACCGTTCATTTTCCCCAGTAGGTTTGTTACTTTTATAATTTAAAAAAAAATTTAAACACGTTTTTAAAAAAGACCGGAGAAGGCCAGGCGCAGTGGCTTCACAGCAAAACTCTGTCTCAAAAAAAGACTGGATGTTCGTACAACTGCGCCACACCGACACTCCTGGTGCTGAGACCTGAGCATAGTTTCTCTCATGGATATTCACGCAAAGCGCTTAGTCAGGCAGCGAGGAGCAGGTGTCCTTGCTGTGTTCTGTAACAAAGGGCTAGGAATGCCCTTTTCTTTCAAACCAGTGAACAAAAAAACACCTTTGATTCCCATTATAAAGCTAATTTATAGATATTGTATAAAATTAAATAGATAAATATCTGAGAATAGCCAAAAGTGTTTGAAAAATTAGCATAACAGAGGAGAAGCTGCCTTACCAGGTATGAACTTCCTATAACGTGACTGTCATCAGAACAGGGTGTTACTGGCTTAGGAATAGTACATCATGGACCACAGTTGGGCTTCTCGGGTATTAATGTGCAGGCACAGCCCGGGACACCTGGCTGAAGTGCAGATCCTGGTACAGGAGGTCTGGAACGGGCCCCGAAATTCTGTATTTCTAACAAAACCCGGGTCATGCTGGTGCTGCTTCTCTGAGGAGCACCCATTGAGTAGCAAGGGGCTAGAGCTGTGGTCCCCAACCCCCCAGGCCACAGACCATGAACTGGGCCGCACAGCAGGAGGCGGGGAGGGGGGATAGAGCCGGTGAAGCCCCATCTGCACCCACAGCTGTCCCCGCCGCCGCTCCTTCACCGCCCCAGCCCCGCCCTCGTTAGATCAGCAGTGGCATCAGACCCTCAGGAACGGGACCCCACTGCAAACCACACATGCAGAGATCCAGGTTGTGTGCTCCCTGTGAGAGGCGACCCCCCCCCTACATCCGTAGAAAAACTGTCTTCCATGAAACCTGTCCCTGGTGTCAAAAAGGTTGGGGACTGCTGGGCTAGAGAGTCCAGAAATAGATCTAAGGATGGATGTAAACCCGGCAGGCGACAGAGGAGGGAAAGGGGTGGTTTATTTCGTGGTCACGGAGCCAGATGCTTTCAGGTGCTGGGAATGAGGCAAGCAGCCGATGTCAGACCGTGGTGAGCTGCGGGGCCTGAAGATCACCTTTCTTCCACACCAGTGTTCAAATTCAAATATTAAAAAGGAGAAGAAAAGAGGAGGAAGCAAAACTTACTGATAGAAGCATTTTGAGGTTAGATCAGGCAACCTGATGGGACCACTGGCTCATACCGCGCTAGCATAATTGGCTCTCAGAGAACGAGGAAACTAAGTGGCGTACCACACCCACACCACAAAGGAAAATGCATTAACATAAATTCCAGTAGAAGAAATATCTCACTGCAAAAAACAAACTATAATACTGTTAGAAGAATTGAGAGAAAAAGTATGTCTAAGCTTGCGGTAGGGTAGGCCTTCTGAATCAAGACTGAAACCCATGAAAACAGTCTGCTATCACACAAGGCATGAACAAAAGGGCAAAAAGCAGATACTAGCTTTGAAAAATAATGGCCAATATCACTACAGTTTAAACATTTAAGACATTGATGAGACAGATCACCGTTTAGAGCGATTCTGCCCAATCCCAATGAGGACGAGCCCTCCCTCTGCAGCGCTGGCCATCTGGGGTGTTTATCTCAGGACTGAAAATCACAGACCCTTTGATCCCTCCAAGCCACTTTGGGACTCCAACTTAGCTCTCCGAGCAAGGCTAAGCTTACTATTGCCTGTAAGTAACAATAGATAAACAGATTTTGAATAGGCTTTTTGTTTGTTTGTTTTTTAGGTATTTTCAAACATCCAAAAGTAGACAGACTCATAAAACAAGTCCCTGTGTGCTCATCACCAACTTCAGCAATTAATGGCGTCTGACTAACCTTGGTTCCATTCTTCTCCTCTACATATTTTTCCTCCCCTGAGTTCTTTAAAGCCAGTTCCACACATATCATGCCACCTGTATGTTAAATAATTCAACATATATCTCTAACAGATAGGGGCTTTAAAAAACAAACACACACATACAACCACAATGCCAAATACAATTAACACTAATTCCATAGTATCTATTACCAGTCCAGTCCATGTTCAAATTCCTCTTATTTTCTCAAAACATCTTTTTACAGTTCATTATTTGAGTCTGTCCAAACAAGTGCCACACACTGCATCTGGTTATATGTTTCTCATATCTCTTTTAGTGTATTTTTAATAAGGCACTGCCTTAGTGGCCAGAAACACATACACACACACACACACAATAAATGGGACAATGTGTCTGTAAGGTAGGCAATGATTGGGCCTATAGACAAGATTAAAAGACAATGGGGTGGAATGAGCATTGTTAATTTTTTCTTTAAACACCTCTATCATGTTTGACTTGATACAGAGTGCATGTGTTAATTTTATACTTGAAGAGAAAATCTTGCTTTTGTTCTTCATAGTAGCTTTGACTGGACAGCTTAAAATGTCTCTGTGAGTTTGGGCAGGGAGAACCCAGCCATTTTCTGCAGGGTTTTGCTGGAGAACACCAGGGTGGGCGATTTGTGAGATACATCAGTGGCAATGTGACTTAGCTTTGGTCTGGGCTGATTTTTAAATCATGTGTGACTTTGTTAGGCGAACCCTGATGGATTAAAAGCTCCAAAAGCTCTGCCAACCGATTCTGTGTTGTTTGCGTGATTTAGGAGCAAGGCGTTGCTATTGCTGTTTAACACTGTCTGTTTCCTTCTGTCCCCTTCCCCTCAGGCTTCCACCATGTTACGAGCCTCCCTGGCACCTGTGTAAGTAACTGCTTTTTAGGAATTTTTATTAAGGGGAACAGCCATGTATAAAACCGGAATTCAAAAATACCTTTAAAACATTTATCTTAGCAGCCTGGTTTAGAATAATGCCTTTGAGCTAGAGCTCCATGTGGATATTAAAGGAAATACCAGTACTTATAAGTAATGTTGAACTAGAATTATCTTTTAATGTTCATTCTATTTATTTTGGTAAGGTAGCATCCAATGGAAAAAAACTGTTGAATTGTTCCTATGGTATTCTATAGAAATGAACTTAACCCTTCGCAATCGCTTGCTTTTTTCTCATTATCCACTCGGCATTATCCACACTGGACATCCGAGTGCAAAGGGTTAATCTACTGTCACAGTGCAGTCAACAGTCAACAGCGATGTAATCTCTAAATTTTATGTTCTCTGCTGGTTCATGCTGTGACCAGGGCAGCGGGGCAGCTCGTGCACGCCCGAGCATTCCTAGCCACATCGCTTAGGCTGTCACCCAGGGGAGAGAGAGCCTGACGCGTGTGCACCGGGTGTGTGTGCTCTAGCAGGGAGGGAGTTGAGGACCTCTGACTTGGACATGGAGACTAGAATGGAGTGTGGTGGCCCTCTGAGTCAGCTGTGTGTGTGTGTGTGGAGGGGAAGGGAACTATGAGATTCCTCAGACACTTGAGACGGCCACAACATTCCCCCTTCCTCCGTCCTGCCTGACTCTGACATTGACCCGCACTGTTCTCTCTCCTGCTGCGCTGGCTGCAGTATAGCGTAGCACTTACAAGCACAGACCGCCAGGGTTAAGATCCCACCTTTGTGTCTGGCTCTGTGACCTTGGACTACTTATATAACTTCTCTGTGCCTCAGTTTCCTGACATATGAAATGAGAAGAATAATAGTTCTTTTATAGGATTTATAGGATTCTGAAGGTAAGGGTGAGTTAATATGTAGAAAGCCCTGAATACAGTGCCAGGGACATAGCAAACACTCTAGAGATGTTTGCTATTATTATTCTCAGTGACATAAGAGGCAAGGTCACCTGCAGAGAGTAAAGGGGGCAAGAACAGAGAGGAGTAGGCATGACACAGTCTTCTTGGACAGCAGGAGAGTGGCTGGACCATAGAACTGTAGAGCTGTCGAGCAACTTAGTTGGCATTAAACTTAGTTGGTAATATTGCCTTTACTGGCAAGTATATACGGCCCAAATATGACAGTTTTTCTTCCTTTCAGAGGAAGCACCCCAGCTACAGAACATTATCAAACTTGGTTTTGCAATTAGAACTTCTTTGTCTAGAACAAGAGCTCATTTAAATTTTAAATTGTTTTTTAAAATTTTTCTTTGTTAAAATAATTTCAGAGTTGCAAAAATAGTACAGAGAATTCCCATGTACCCTTCACCCAGATTTCCCAGTGTTAATATTTCACACAAGCCTAGTAGTGATCAAAATAAGAAAATTAACAGTGATACAGTATTATCATCTAATCTGCAGACCTTATTCACATTTTATCAATCATTCTATTATTTTGATTTAGTTGTCATGTCTTCTTAGTTTCCTTTGATTTATTTAATAAAATAATTCCTCAGTCTTTTGTCTTTCATGGCCTTGACACTTTTGAAGAATATTGGCCAGTTATTTACAGTAAAAAATTTAAAGGTAACTCTATTGATTTTTAAACTTGCAATAGTATCTGCCTCAGGAAAAAAGTGTCAATGTGCAGGCAAGGGTCCTGAAGAAACCATCGCACGTTTGCTGTTTCACCTCCTTTGCCTTTCAACACCATTAAAATTAAAAAATCAAACTTACTAGAATAGACAAAAAAGACAAAAAAAAAAGCATATACTGCCACACATGGAAATGTGTGCAGCAGCATCTAATGCCACATATAATAATACGCCCAGTATTATCTACTAGACTCACTCACGCACCAACATGAAAAACCTCATCTAGCAAATTCCAGACCACAGTACCCATGGTAGCAACAGAAAGAACGGGGACATTAAATAATACCTCTACAAGCTTCATATATACCAGATCAACATTGCGTTTTCACAACCATTATTGAAAATTCGCTCACTACCTCCCTTGTAGAGCAGATAAAGATCATGTATGGCATTTGCAGCTCAGAAATCATTGCCCTATTTCCTACATTGCTCTGAACAGTACTGGGTTTCTGAGCAGCCGTGCTTTCCTCCCTACAATCCGCCACCTTTTATTGACATTCTGAACTTCCCAACCAGAGAAGAGCATCAACTTCTGGCCACCTCCCTGTGTCTTCTACAAAGCATAGCTCCCGGCGCAAACTGCTTCTGAAGGTGCGATTGATTTACTTGTTTTTCCATACCAGAGCATGGTATCTTAACAAGCATGAACCACATGGATGTGATAAGAGTAAAAGGGCTCCACAGATCCAATATTTGTTGCAACAGTTGGGACAAATCACAGTGAATTTCTAGATACTCCTAAGAAAGGGAGATGTCTGCACTTAGCTGAGAAACCTTATCCATCCATCACATCATACATTGTTGTCACAACTAGACCACATGAGTCCATTGCAACAGTGACATATGTGCCCCTAGGTGCGAGGATACAGCGAGACACAGACCTGTAACATTATGATCTCGCCTATTACTGATGAGACACAGGATTGTAGCAGATCCGGAAATAGCGAGCAGAAACAAACCAATACCGAATCATGGAGTAGTTGCAGGAGCTACGACTACCTGAGAAATGACACGACAGGACCATAGGATTCAAAGTAAGGAGATCTATATCCAGTAGCCTATTGCACCGTAAGGCCAATGTCACCCATACTTGCCCCACCAGTCAGCAGCCAACTCTCCACTCTAGCGGAGTAGAACTAAGTGTTAAAAATTTTAGGTCAAAGACAGGATGAGGTGGAACACAGACCAATCTATCAATTGCAACAGTCACAAATAAGACGTGGAGCCAATCTTGAAAGCCCTTCTGTCCCAATGCTCCACTTTGAAGCCACAGACAGCACCCATACAATTATTCTCTTCTAGGGGACGCCTAAGGAGGGAGAGGTGTCTATCCATCTACTTGAGATGTGAGGGCATGAACAGACCCACAAGCAGTCCAACAGAAGCGTATACATCATGAGAGCGAGAGACCCATGACCGTTTTCCTCATATTCGGACACATAAACAAAGTCGTTATATAATGCATTGTGTATAAACCAAAATAAAGAACAAATACACATCTAAATGATACACAAATATTGACAAACTCCATGTGACACTGCAGCAGACCTGCATAGCACCACAACTACTCAAAAAACCCCGGTCACTGTTAGTGCAATTTGAGCAACACGACAGCAATCCACCTACACGCGTACAAGACTTAAGACAACGAAGAGCGATCTTGGAGGGATGATTGGCCTCTGACCTCCACCCTGGAAAGATTCCAAATATCTGACATCATGCAAGCCAGCGAGAGCTTATTCATTTTGAAGTTATATGGCACAAGACGACAGTAGAGCGGACATGAGCCGATCGACAGCACAAGATCGATATGCAATAAGTGCATGTACGCTAGGAAGTACTCAGGCGGTACCACACTACCCACGACTGTGCCGCATATGCACAACAGACCAGCGTCTCAGAGACAAACCATGGGATCTTTGAGCTTTGAGATAACCTGGTGGACACGAACCTACACGAGTATACTTGGCGTATATGGGCCATTAGTTGATCACCTTAACATAACTTACGTGTTTCCCTTTTTGGTAAGGAAATAACTCGACTCTCCTCTAAACTGGTTCAAATTTTTACCATGACCATGTATTCTCTTTTACATTAAAACAAGCTAGGCTGGCGAAGGTTCACGACCTGTATCCCAGCACTTGCGAGGCCGAGGTGGACGTGGACATGCTTGAGACAGGAATTCAGACCACGCCTGAGCAACACCAGTGAGACCTGACATCCCTACAAAAAATAAAAAACTTAGCCAGGGTGGTGGATGTTCGTAGTCCCAGTGACCAGGAGGCTAGGGAGGATCACTGAGCCTTTAGCCGCTGCAATGAGCTATGATGTGCCACCTGCACTCCAGCCTGGAGACAGAGTGAGACCCCTATCTCTAAAAAATCAAAAACAAAAATAAACACAACAAAAATCTCCAGCCTACTTAAAGTCCCAGGCTCCATCCTCTCCGCCATCTGAAACTGAGGCCTGCTTTATACTTCCTGCCTGCGCCGCAGGCCTCTACTCACCAAACCCTGCAGTAGGAGCTCATGTGCTCACCACTTGATCACATGCCACAGCTATGTCAATGTCAACCCTGGGCCTTAAGAAGCACACCCAGGATGGTGCAGTAATTTTAATAGGCGAAGAACAAAAGAGTTAACTTTCCTTTTCTTTCTATAGCTGTTTAATTTTCCGTAACTATGTGCCTGTCTTTTAAAAATTTTTTGGTAACAGTGATTATTAGTACCATTTTTGTCTGTTCTGCGGTCACTTTTCTGTATTACAGAAAAAGTTAATACATGTTATTTCTTAAAACTAAAAAAAACTTTATACTAAAAAGTCCAATTTTTAAAACATTCATTTCAGAGCTCCTCCCTAAAGTAACCAGCATGAGGCACATATTCCTGAGAGCACGATCCCATCTCCAATGATCTTTAACCTACCCCACCTTCCCCGCATCATCCTCCAACATGTGCCCCTCCCCACGGCAGCCACTTCTAGCCACCACCCGCAAGCATCTTGCTGCAGTTTCGCTGAAATTTCGTGTCCTCGTTTTCACAACATCAAGAGCTTTCAGCACTGGATAAAACATGTTAACCGAGCTGCCACCTAATAAAAATGCATTGTTAGCTTAGACTGGTCAGAACAATGGAAAAAAAAATCCCACTATTTATAAAGGCTAGCCCATTCGAAATAATGAAGCAAAGAAGTAAAAATTCTTGTTCAAATGGTTTTTTATTTTGGGGAAAATAGGTTCCCTGCTTTATATTCACTATCAAAAATAAATTCCATATGGATTAAAGGA